TATCTATTATTTTTCTGTTATACTTTTTCCTTAGTTCGATATGTATTTTTTAAATATTTTACATATTAGTGTAATATATTTGATGTTTTGAATATGAAGTAAAATTTTGAAGTTATTTATTTACGTCAAAAAAGTTAAAAAATAACTCTGTGACGCGCTATGGGGAGAAGTTAAATTGAATTAAATTAAATATTCTAATACGAGTTAAAATGTTTGTAAGAAAATATATAATTTATTGCATTTTTTATTTTACTACTTCCCCCCCTCTTGTCCGCTATTTTTCGGATGCAGACCTGGCAACCCAAAGTGCAATAGTCAATATAATTGTTGCGTAAATGTTAGCCGTCTGTGTATTAACAAAATATCGGCGTTTCACAAATAATACACGGAACTGTCCGCGATTTTCGTTGTCAGCATAAATTTCGAAGTCTTATTGGCAATACAATTATATCACTATTGACATAAAAAATGTAATATAATTCATTCCTACCATTAATAAATTTGTTGAATGCATTATTCCTTTGCGTACCTCGATGTCGTTCCCTGTCTTGCAATCGTAGGTTTGCTGGCAATATTAGCATTTAAAATTTTGAAGTCTTATTGGCAATAAAATTACATCACTATTAACATTAAAAAATATGTTATATAATTCATTAATACCATTAATAAATGTGTTGAATGAATTATTCCTTTGCGTACCTCGATGCCGTTCTCTGTCTTGCAATCGTCGGTTTGTTTCGCGCATGCTGCAAATTTCAGTAGGCCGATGGATATTGTTCAACGTGTGGAAGAACTCGAAATTGTCACAGTAAGCGCGACGGTTACAGCAGAGCATTGATAACTCTTGGATTACAGATGAGGCCTCGGAGAACGCGCTTCGGCGGAAGAATATATTTCGGTATGTATACATCTACTTCATTCTCTCGTTGGACGTACAATACATAATACTTATTATTTTTGCACATTCAATGAGAGCAGTCCGATTGAAATGAGTGATAATTATTGGTATATGGTACTCCAATGAGTGGTTAATGTCACACGGTACTACAAATAGTAAGAAACAGAAAGTAAGTGCAGTTCGCCTATCCTCGTTCCCCATCGGACATGTCCGGCAGTATGCGTTGGCCCAAGCAATGCCTACTGCTCTTGTAAAGCAGAACAGGAGCACCAACAGAACGCACGAGACGAGCGTCGTGGACCGATCGATTCAGGAAGTGTCACACGGTAAGTGCACACAGGATTAGCACCGCGAGGATCGAGCTGTAGTCGCCTTCGGAGTTTCAGCGAATGATTTTGCTTTCAACTGTTTATTTATTTTCTTTAGATATAGTATAGGAGACGACGAAAAGTTACACGCTCGGGTGTAAATAATGGTTTTTGACATTTTCAATTTAATCGAGATTTTTTTGCATATATGATGCAAAGTAAGCAGCTGTGTGTCTTCCTAGTGCTTTCAAGAACGGGTAAACAATACAATAATTCTCCTACGTTGTGGCGTGAGTTGCTCATCTCTCTTTTATAAACAAAGATATCACACTGTATTTTCAGACAAAACGTGAAATGTCAGTTACCATATTTGTACTCTAAAGCCTGTACTTCGCGATTCCACGGTAAGAATATACTTGCAAAGTACGATTGTCCTTAAAAACTCTATTATTGCGGTTTGAACTGTCAATTAATAAGAGTGAAATACTTCCAACAACTCTATTTTTTGAAATGACAAGGTCGCAATTAACATTTCAAACGTTTTCAGTAAACTGATGTCAAAGTTTCATTATCTCAACATTCAGTCGTCTCTTCACCAACAGTAGTGTTTTTTACAGATGCTATTTGTCCAAAGATTGCCGCTCTCGTACGTTCCACGCCTAGCAGAAACGAGCCCGTTTTCTGGAAACCCGAAATACCTACCACAACTCCTTTCCAACATTGGTTAAATTAAGAATAAATGACAGCAACGAGATTTCTATACAAAATGTGATAATCATAAATGTTCGCTCCCGTGTAATAGGAACAATTTGTTATCGAAAAACGAACTACGAAATTGGTAATATAAAATTATTTTCGTCAAATTAACAATACTCCCCACTCCACTCACAACTTGAGAAGAAAGGCTCAAGAAAATGTGCGAATAATAGAACCTTTTCACACTAACCTTATTTTCTTGGACTTTGTCAGTTGAAACCGTGCCATTCCAACGGATCCAACCAGTACCATCTGTCCTACAGGAGTCACGAGCACCTGGCCACCAGTCGGTGTAGAGCACGGGCGGCGTTCTAGTAACGGAGGCCTCGCCTCGCGAGCGGGCTGGCGCGGCGGCTGACGGCGACACCGGAGCGCACGCGAGGCCTCCGGACCTGACCATGCGCCACCAGCAGAGCGACCTTGACAGCGTGCAGCGCCGGGCTTGGCGAGGTGATGGCAGTTCCAGGCGAGACGTTGTATTTCGTTGTTGTTTTTTATATAGTGGCCGATGACATTAGGTCATTGTTACAGCTCCTACCTTATAAAATGAATATTTTTAATAGTGGTAAGCACATTTTTAAGGCCACGAGCCCCGTTGAGAAGGACGTTCGCGAATTTATTAAAATATTTATTTTTTTAGGAGACGTGATAATAACCTGATGTCGTCGGCTACTATAAAATCATCAAAGTATAGCTTGAATTTCATACTAGTTCATTTCACGTTTTTGAAGGCATTGTTACGGTACGGCACAACGCGGTGGAAATTTTTAAACTTTCATTACAAAGTTTTCCGCAAGGATGCGCGGGCACTAAGCCGTCATTATCCGGACGGGACGATCCGCACCTTCCTGTTTGCAAATAGTCCGAAGGAAATTTCTGTACATTGCGGCGTGCCGTTCATCGGCATCATCCCGCTGTTTCAATTGTGAGGTTATGTGGAGCATGAATGCATCAAATTTATCAAGTTTATCCAGAGCAATCCCGAGTTGTACAACGTTATATTAAGTTTTATTTAATGTATTAGCAAGTTAAGAAGTGTAATTTAGTTGGTTAGCTAAAGTATCTGAACCAAGGAGTAACGTTTGCAAAATTAAAATCACGAGATTTTCATTAGAAACTGTGAAGTATTCGTTAAACTTGGTACATTTGTGCACGGTGAATAAATTATGCCATATTTTGGAATGATACATTAGTTTATTAACCAATGTAAATTATGTCTATTTTTCGTATATTATTGGATCTTATCTGTGCTATTTTCTGAAGTTTCTAAATAAAGTAATGTAATAATTTTGTCCTTTAGTCGATCTTTTGTCGGTCAGGATTTTGTCCAGTTTCCCTGATCCATTGAGAAAATGCTGAAATGGCCCCTTGTTTTGCTTCTGGACGTAAATGTAGCTTCACTAGGCGCACGTTTTGTTGAACTCTCCTTTTTCTTGTAATGGTAGGAGTAGAGGTAAGGGCGAGTTACTATTTTGTTAGCAATGCAGAAAAATCGTACTTGCAAATCTACCGATGCAAATAAGTTTTCTATAACTCGGGAATGAAAATATCTATTTTTTTCAAATATTGCTAATCTCACGCTTTTTTAAAATTTATATTATTTATTTGTTTTGAACTTTTACTCATATTTTAACTATTTATAGTTAAAATAGAGATTCTGGAACTCAGTAAAACGTGCGCAGATAATGTTCACCCCCATACTTCACATAGTTTTTACTTTTTTTTACTAAATAAACCTAAATCTAGTTGAATTTAATTGTACACAGTTAGAATATTTACCAAAATATTTATTTATTTAGTATATTTTTTAAAATAACTTACTTAGTTTCAAATGTCTCGTGAGACATCCTACAATTGTGAAATAGCTTTTCATCTTCTTCCAGGTCGGGGAAAAAGCGTTAAATTCACCTTTTGTCATTCTCGTTTTGTTTAGAAGAGAACAAGAGAATGGGTTTTCTTCGACTCCTTGGATCATTTATTCTTCCGCTATTACAAATTAACAAAATACGATTGGTTCTTTTCTTAAATTATAAATTTGTCTCGCACAATAGAAGACACGAAGCAAGTAGCCTTTTTTTTCGATTTTTCCCTCTCGAGTTGCCCTGGAAAGGCGGGAATTTATTCAACTTTCGGGAATACAATTGTTTTTATCTGCAGTCGATTACGCTTTTGCAGTTAGTAAGGACTTTTTACGTAACCTGACTAATTAAAACTATCTTATAACTAAATACATGTACTCTTTGGGGTATGAGCAAGTAGCCAATCTGTCCGAAGTGTCCATTTCGTCCCGTTTCGGCCTAGTGCGCGCAACCCAGACAAAATCGCCGTCTATCCTGTCCCGACCGTCCGCAGGTCTCTTTAAACTTCGATAATACTATCGATAGTATCATACTATAAAAACTATCGATACTTGTGAAAATTATCGAATACTATCTGAATCAATTTTTAATAAAATATATACATTTAGATAGTTCAATTTTTATTACCAATACTCCAGAAACATAATTCATCTATTTAACTCTCATTAAATATAATTGTAATGAAATCACTGGTTCATACCCTAGTTTGACATGGTGTTTTCTTAATAAGAGAAAGATAAAATTCGCGTTCGCGATGAGTGTGAATGAGCGTTAATTGTTTAAAGTGAATACATCAATAGCCTTTATGCACGGAAACGTTAATTCACTCTAGTATAAGTTCGCAATGTTTAATTTATTGAAGTGGTTAGTGATATTTGCCACAGTTTTATCCGAGATAACAACACTGAAATATTATAATATTTTACACATTTTCAAAGAAGCTTGCATTTAATGACCGGGAATTTATTGAAAAATTGGTAAGATTTTATTTATTAACCTTTTTATTAAACAATATTTATTTACAATATATTGTGGTTTGTTTACTGAAAAAGTTCTTATCAATTAGTCAAAACATTTATAATTTTATTAATTTCTGTTTCGATAGTACAATCGATATTATTCGATAATTTATTTGAAGACTATCGATAGTCATACTATCGAGGTTTAACGAGCTCTACGATCAAGTGCGCGGGTACTATTATAGGGATCTATAGTTTTACTGTCGTGAAAGAGCACACTCAGTATAGCAGAGTTGTAAGTAGTAATGGTTTTATGAAGTGCATGTAAATGTTTTAACCATGAAGGTTCGAAGGGTAATTGGGAATGGGAATTGTCATCAAAGCGTGCGCAAGGGTAGTAAAATAATTTTAAAATAGTGAATTGTTGCCGAGAGAAGGAACAGCGTGAATTGCAACAATTTGCAAGAGCGTGCAACAACTTGCCTCTACAAACATCCGAAAACATGGCACCGAGAGTTGGGAGCATGACCTTTGGCAAAGTACTAGCAAACGATGTTAGTGCATCTGAAGAAGCGTGGTGATAGCAGACATCTTGTGGTAATCCATAATATGAATTAACAAATAATTAAACCACAATTTAAAGTTTTAATGTTTATTAAAACATTTAGTACCCAAAGTTAACTTTCGGTACTAACTCGATTTTCCAAAATGTTAATTTTTTGCCTGGGTTTGCTAAGTGGTAAATTTGGAAGTTTTCTTCGGGGTCAAAACTCTATCATGGATTTACTACTACTCAAGGACTTCCTCCTTGTCTACCATCTTTTTATTACTCGCATCCGTCTTCTCAATTATGCTCCACCATTGAGTTTCTCCTTGATCGAAGACACATATTCTCAAACTGCATTAAAATTAGCAGTGAGCACTGAAAAAGTTCTAAGCATTTTTAATGAAAACATTAATTCATATTCCTTTTTGATTAATTGTTCAAACATTATAACAGATAAAGTTAATAAACCTCTACCTATTCCACGTTTACATATAAAATCTACTAATAAACTAATTGAAAAAGTGAAACTAGTAATTTAATTATTAACAAAGTTTAAAAGGGAAATACTATTGTAATAGTGCACAATAATGACTACATTAAAACTAGCACACTTTTTTGTAGATAATGATTTTCCTTGTCTTGACAAAGTCCCTATTCCATCGTTTAATCTAAAGGTCAGGAATACAATACTAACCAATACTCTTATTCCACAGCACAAAAATATATCCCTACAGGTTATAAACCCCAATGTTCTAGGTTGTTTAGTCTTATTATACTACATGGAAATAATCTTCCAATTAGACCGATTGTTAGTTTTTACATCTCAAAATTCATCTCTTAAATTTATTATTCCTTATCTTAGCACTATCTCTCATTTTGATCCTAGATTTAAACTTAACATTTCCATTGATGCCATTAATTAGGTTGTCAAATGTCCACTATTTGAGCGGGCAGTCCGCTTTTTTCATACCATGTTCACTATTTTTTTTTCTTCACAAAATAGTGGACATTATACATTTTAAAAAATATCCCAACGTTGTACTGAAATTAAAGAATCATTCCTTAAATACAAAGAAGTGATCAAAACTGCGCGATCAAATAAACTAATACACACGACAGCAAAGTAAAGTTATGAAGTGATTATTTTAATAAGCGTTAACATTTTTGTAAGAAAATATATAATTTAATTGTAATTTTTTTAAATTACTTCTTACCCCCTCCTCCGCTTGTCAACTAGTTTTTGGAAGCAGACCTCGCAACTGTACTCATAAATAAAGGATATTGCTGATCCCCCAATACAAAAATGGACTCTTTTCATGTCCAATATGCATATTTACATTTTACTTCTCCATTTCATAAGATGGTACATGTCCGCTGCCCTTACTCCTGCCCCAGCCTAACTGGTTAACTCATTCCAACGATAACCTACCACCTATAAAAAATATATTGCAGCTGCATATTTGATCAGAGAAATGGAATAGGCATATTTTAATACTAGGAGTGTACCGTATAAATTGCCATTTTGTATGTGACAAAAAAACGAACTTAATGCCAAATGGAATGGCACTCATTTCATTGATGTTGTTCTTCGAATGATTCGGCTAATCAGTTTTTCATTTTTCATCGACGTACTACTCCAGCAAAAAAAACGCAATCCCTAATTTTAGCGAAACAAACATTTTATGAAGTAATTGTTTTTCAACTTAATTTAGTCATTTAATGCTGTGTGGACAGTTAATTTATATAAATAATGTTTATTTTGAAATATGAAAGCTAATGCGCATTTATTTATTGTTTTAAATACTGTAATGTTTTCTTTAATATCCTGCTTCTGTACAATGCTTTGTTACTGCAGAACTTGACTGAAACTTTTCTAGGAGTCGAAAATTGTTTTTGTGATGACTCAAGTTACAAATGAGCTGTAGACTCCTAATGCCTACTGTACATGGTCATATTTTATTATAAAAGTTTGATGAAATATAAATAAAATGTTTTATGGCATTTCATTTAAAAAAGGGTGTGTTGCACAATTTTTTGTTGTACACTTGTTAGACCTGTCACTTCTTGTGAATATTCTGTACTAGCATGCCTCTCGTCTTGCATTACGATTAAACAAAGGGTCGGTGACAATATACAAGAAAATGTGCTTGTGATATTCATGTGAATCTGTTCTTCTCTGGACCATCCTTAGCGAATCACTTCCGTCATATTAATAATATTAATTGTAAATAATTAATAATATATGATTAATAATAATATATATTATATGTTATTAATTAAATTACTAAAAATAATATGATTAGTATTATTGATTTACTTACTACTTAACCGTTTACTAACTGAATCTAAGTTACAGATTAACTTATGTATTGTGCTTATTAACGTATTTATTTGGTGTCCAGTCTAGGCTCCGCTCATACTAACCATTTCTGTTTGGCCACTCCCTAATTTTCGTTACCCTAATGGTCCGAACGTTTCCTAGAAATGTTCCTAATTCTTTCATGAAGTGCTACCTTTCAACACCTAATATGACCCCAGTAGCAACCCTTGCGTCCGCTCAGACGAACAAGTAGCGAGCGCGGCGCGCGCGTGCGGTGCGCAGGGCGGCAGCGGTGGGTGAGGCGGCTGGCGCGGGAGATGGTGGCGCAGGCGGTGGAGGCGGTGGTGCGCCGCGTCTGGCGGGACGGAGGGCGGCGGCGGCGGCGGCGGCCTCGCAGCAGCGGAGGGGTGACGGCGCGCGACGTGGAGCAGGCGCTGGAGGCGCTCGCGCCCAGCCCGTCCGCCACCCCGCGCACCCCTGGGTCCCCCACGCCGGTGACGGAGGAGGGCGAGCAGCTGCAGCTGCAGCTGCGGGAAGACGAAGGAGGGCGGGTGCCGGTGGCGCATCTGCAGCCCGTGGTGCTGCTGCATCGGGTGCCTCTGGCCGTCGTCTGCGCCTCCGAGGCGCCGCCCCCGGGCCCAGCGCGACCGGGCGTGGACAAGTAAGGGAAATGCGCTCGTTCCTTGATTAGCGTTTCCGGGCGAGGCGCCTGCGAAGGTCATTAGCCCCGTAAGTGTAGTGAGTGAATTTTATTGCTGTGTCCCTCTGCTGGTTGACGAGATTCGGTGCCAACCTACACGCCGGCTTGCCTTGTTTTCCCCAACCAGGTATCTCCCACCACGTAATCATTGTGAGTAATTTTATCACTGGAGGCTACTGTAATATGTCCCCGCTAGTTGGCGAGATCCGGTTCCAACCTACACGCCGACTCGCTTTGTTTTCCCCAACCAGGTATCTCCCGCCACGTAATCATAGTGAGGGATTTTATCACTGCAGGTGGCTGTGATATTTCCCCGACATTCGGCGCCAACCTTCACGCCGGCTTGCCTTGTTTTCTTAACTAGGTATCTCCCACCACGTAATTATAGTTAGCGATTTTATCGCTGGAAGCGGCTGTGATATTCCCCTGATAGTTGGAGAGATCCGGCGCCAAACTACACACAGGCATGCGCTGTTTTCCTCAATCAGGTACCTCCCACAAGGTAATCAAGGTAATCATAAGTATTTTTATCACAGGAGGTGGCTTTGATATTTCCCCGATAGTTGACGACATCCGGTGCCAACCTTCACGCCGGCTTACCTTCTTTCCCCAACCAGTTATATCCAACCACGTAATTATAGTCAGTGATTTTATCACCGGAGGCGGCTGTGTTCCTATGCTAGTTGGCGAGATGCGGCGCCAACCTATACGCCGACTGGCCTTTTTTCCCAACCAGAGACCTCCCACCAGCCAGACACCGCCCCAGCCGGGAAAAACTCAAAGCTTCCGTCTGATTTCCCGCTTCTTCTCGCTCTCTATGCTCCTCCCGCCGTCTGGACTCAAACCCTAAGACCTCCAGGTTAAAAACACAGTCAGTTGAAAGGGATGCGCCATCAATGGCGTTGTTTTTTAAAATATCGATATTGTCATAGAAACCACGATGTTTTAAACATTTTAACACCGATATTTATTTTACATCGATATTTTGTGATCGATGTTTTTTTTTTCTTTTCTGATGTTTTATTTCTGAATGGAAAAAGTTCCTTTACACCAATACAGTAAAAGTTAAAATATGAAATAATAACTCATAGTAACACTGTTATTCTTATGTTGGAACCAAAGAAACGCTATTTGCACTGCCTTCATTGACCAATTTCTCTCGCTAGAGATGACCTTCTTGCCCTTCTATTTCCTCTTTCTTCATATTCATTTTGCATATTCAGATATGGTAAACAAATACGCTCTGGGCGTATGGTCTGCCCTTCTTCTTGGCCTTTATTCGGCGAATTGATAAACGCGGACACTTTCAAATTAAATTTTAATGCACACGAATTTCATGTTACAGGTTACTAAACAAACTTTGAAGCATCGATGGCTTTTAGTCGATGCATTTTTAACATATATGTTTTAATTTTAAAAATCGATGTTTGCTCACATCTATGTTTTGTTATCGATGTCACATCACTAATCAGTTTATGCCCTGAGCCATCTAAGCAGGTGGGAAATGTGCTTGAATCCCAAGTGATTGTCGTTCCCACGTTCACGAGTTCACTCTCCCGCTGTGAGATCAGTGAACGAAAGTGATGATCGAGGACATTCTGTTTCGTAGTTCAAATGTGCATGGTTGCTTTTTGTTGTGCGAACACATCAAGCAATTGCAAAAGCAATCCATTTCATGATATTTTATAAGAAATATATTCGTCGTCTATTGTTTGGAATTAGTTTCCTGTTTTGTTTTTGTTTTCCTTTTTTCTAAAAGTCTTCGGCAACAAAATGGCATACAATGCGTAGAAAAACTCAAGAACTTTTTATATTAACTGCGAAGATAGAAGGGTGGAGTCACATCAAATCGCCCTCGCGTGGAGGATTGGCAACTACACTTTACGAGAGTTAGGTTGTAGTATACGACTTCATTCTGCTCGCGTGTTCATGCCGTTCACCATTTTTCGCAAAGTGATTCGATTCCTTCTCGTGGAATGCAATAGGGAATGAAAAACCGGAAATGACAAACGCTCCATGCAGTTCTTTTTAAAATTAGTCAGATTTTTGGAGCTTCGCCCTGAAAGTAATAATTATGTTTATTAAAGAAAAAGTTTTGAATTTTGTTAATGTTCCTATAATTCCTGGTTACAATTTTCTTCCATTCAATGAACACCGAAATTATTTTATTATGTTTTCATTATTTCCCATTAAAACGTTGTCTTTGTTAACAACCTTTCTTCGTGTAAAACCCCTCCTTAATTTCCTTCTTCATGGACAATCAAATTTGTGAATTGTTTTCCCAGGAGTAGAAAAGTTTTATGGAATGGTTTTCTGATTTTGATTAATTATTATTTCTGACATTTCCCGACAGATAATGGATGTATTCTCAACGCAGATAATACAAGACAAGAGTAAGATACTACTCGGAAGATTGAAAATCCCGCAGTCTCTACCAAACAAGATCTCTGCCTGATATACAGAAAAAAGTATTGGCTTTGCCAGAAGTGACCAGCTGCAACCAATATATTTGTTATAATTTATTTTTATTTATCAACGAGATACTAGTTAATTTTGATGACTTTTGTTTATTTTCTTTCATATTAAACAGATATGTTTGGGTTACGTACTGTTTGATATTAATAGTGGATGTATACCATATGAAGTGAAAATATTTAATTAAAATGAATACAAAAAATCTCGTTTCCTTTTTTCTTCTTAATGGATTGTAATACCATATCAAGTACTCACAAAACATAAGTTCTGAACATATAAACTGTTCGACAAAGTAATTTACTACATGTGGTATCACAATATATCAATTTTTTCATTGCCAGAGCCCCACAATTTGAAGTTTTCTTTTGAAACATTACATTTCACGAGTATGATTACAATTCTTTCTCTTTACCACGTAATTACGTAGTATGCGAGAAAGTGAAAAGGTAGTGACTCAAGTAAAAATGACCAAAATGGTAAGTAAAAGTACTCTTAATTGTACAACGGCAAACGTTTAAGGCACATGAACAAATGCATTAACACGAATATACCAAGTGAGAGAAAGGCATAAAGAGGGAGAAAGGGAGAAAAGAAAGAATGATCCGAGTGAATACATGAAATGAGAATCGTGATTTAAGAAGAAGTGTCCGATATCACAATACGAGTTTGCAGTACTTTGTAACGAGGACCAGAAATGTAATGTTTCTCATGACCCAGTAGAGAGTCGAACCACCGCGAGGTTCTACAAGTATTTTTAAAGTAAAATCCTACTACTCAACAATCATCCGTACCTTTAACGGAATTTCTAATTCTCCAGCCACAGATACTGCGACGGGCTGGGCGCATTTTTATTCCCCAAGAGCAAGTAGGTAACCAGATTTATTATGAGTTATTAAATGGAAGGGAAATATGGAGTAAAACCAAATATTTTTCAATTTAAACTGAAAATCTGCAAAGAAAACATCTTTAATAATATCCATAACCCATCAGGGTTATTCCGGGTACCAGAAGATGTTTATTGACTAAGCAAAAATATCCAAATATAAAAAATGTGTTGACAAGCATTGATACCGTAAATTTCACGTAAAAAAACAATTTCCGGAGCTCAATTCTTTCACTAGACAACCATCTAGCTTTCGCACTGTCTCCTGAAACTCCATTTACACACTGTCTTGACGAATCTTTACAGTTATTCGCGGCCTTTGGAGTAATTTGCCGGCTGCGGCAGTGGTGGAAATATTACTCGCGCAACTTTTCTTGAACGATGGGTTGAAGAAATGCTGGTAGAGTGGGGGTGTTAGTTACGAAATCTGCCACTAGATTTTATGAAGCAATGCAAATCTCTGGAGATTCACGCCTTCGTAACGTTCTTAATAATTTGCGTTCTAACTTTATCAGGAGTACGAGGTATCTCCTGTGATAGATTCGTACCTGCTTTGGTCATTTCTTTAGAGTTTTGGAGAAAATAACCGATAGAAGTTCTCGTCTTCAAAAGACAATTGTTTCTACTTCGCGCCGGTGAAGATGTGTTTAGAATGTTGTCATCAGTGCTCGCTGCGAGCTTTTGCCTTCATCTGTTTATTGTGGTAGAGAGGGGGAAGTAAGCTCATCGTCCAAGAAAAGTTGCGCGAGTAATAACTGGGGAGGAGGGCAAGGGTAATTCGTACGCTGATGTCCTCCCATCCATTAAGACCGCGTAGGTTCCGCACCTAACCGTGCGTATGTATGCCACTTAGTGTGAGGTGGTCTGTTTAATTGTCCGCCACAACAAAACCGAAAGAAATCTGAACGTTTAGGAAAAATTACCGCATTCTCTCGAATACGATGGGCACTTCCTAAGCTTTTGAAAACGTATACCTAAAAAGAGGAAATTGACTCTTACATTTATATTTTCTCGAAGTATGCCGCTCACCTAGCGAACATACTACGGGCTAATCTCTGAAACCATTTTTGAAATGCTGCTTGATGTTGTTCTTTTGGAAGCTCTGTTAGAAATGCTAAGGCTGCTACCGCATGTTCTGGGGTCTCGAACCAGTGTCCTCTGATTGTTTCTTTAGCTTTTGGAAACAAAAATGAAGTGTTAGTGAGCCAGGACTGAACTGTACGGGTGGGTGCTCTAGAAGTTTGAACTGGTCCTCTAATAAAAATATTTCTTTTTTTTAGCTGATTAGCTGGCGTGTTGTCATGATGGAAAAGCAGACACACCTCTCTTTTGTTGTCTTCTAATTGATTTCGAAGATTTTTGGAAGACAATTGTGTACCAGTGGGCTGTCACTGTCCTTTGGTCTTCATATGCAGCAGTGGCAGTGTAGAGGGGCAAGCGAGGCGAGGTGGATACGGGCGGAACGGGGCGGGACGAGGCGGGAGTGGCGAAGAGAGGGGCTGCGCGCGGACGGGAGGGG